GCTACGCTTACTTCATTGAGTGGTATCATTCAAGATGCTGTTTTGGAGACTTCTTTTACGCATAGCAGATCCCCCCAGACTTCCGGATGCTGTTTTTGGACAGTGTCTGTTTCCTTGGTGCTTGCTTCGATTGACAAGAGAGCTTACCTCGAAAGAATTCATAAAGGTAATGTTCCTGAGACCTTTTTTTCAGCTGGTGCGCCCCAATGTGTTTCAACTCTTTAGAGAAGAGTACCAGCACAACTATGTATGCGAGACAGGTGGAGATTTATATTAAAGTGCAGTATTTTGTTTGTACTGATGCCTCTTCTAAAATACTTTAGTTTGCCACAGTCCACTTACACATGACGCGCAAAGACACACAGGACGGAAAGTTAATTGTTTTTTCAGCTTTCATCGAGGATTCGATATTTGGGTTAAAAGAATTCAGAAAAAAATTTGTGCTGCTCAATTCTAATATTTGAGAGAAATGTGTCGACGAAATAAAGAATCCTAAATTTGGTTTATCCTTAGTGTCGACCAAGCTTTCTATCCGGTGAAAAACCACTTCAGCAGTCAGTTCAGTTCAGTTCTATTGAAGGAAAGATAGGCAGATGCCTTTGAGTGACGCAAAAATGCATCATACATTAGGAAAATTGAAACTGTGCTCGTTCCCATGATTTCTGTCGTAAAGTTGGCAGCCGTCAACTAGTGGGAAATGATGAACAAGCATATCTACTCACTCATTGTGAGTAGTAAAATTACATAATTCTAGTATCCAGCTCACAAGCGATGCCAATAGGACGAGCTATTAGGTTGAAGAAAATCAAAATCTACCCATTTGACTGCATTTAATTGGTTCATACTTTCGTTTACCAAATACGAAATAGATTTTATAACAATTTCATAGAATTTCGAGCAAATTTTCGGACGTTAAGGCCTTGTCCGTCTCAAAGAACCATTCGTTCAGAAGTTGTCTGACAACTTTCTGGTTAGAAAGTTAAAGTTCTCAAATTTCCCTCCCGGATCTCTCATCCTTGCAAGCCTGGACTTATCTTCTATTGGCCACGCAGATTTTATAAATGTGCTCTCTCACCCTCTCTGTCTTCTCCAGGCCCGCTTTGAGATTCTCACCTCGGAGGCTTCTTACTTCAAGAGTCTGACTGTGCTGGTCGATTTCTTCTACAAAGCTCCCATTTTTACACCCGGCACGCCAAATGCCATAGTGACGGCAGTTGAAAAACATCATCTCTTCTCCAATATCTTAGACATTCACGTCACGAGTGAAAAGTACGTCATTCATCATCATCCTCCAGTCTTTTTCTTTATGAAAATCACCGATTTTCTGCTAGTAAATACCTCAGTACGGAAAGTATTTGTTTGGAGTCTTAGAAATTATGACGGAACCAAGGTTGTAATTGTCCTTTCTAGTTAGGCTTAGCTCTTATGGTAATGCTACCTGCATATTGACTGCCGTCGATGAGTGGCTGTCTACGAATACCTTGAATGGATTCCCAGCCTATGTGAGAATTGCATGTTGCACAAAATGACTCCGTTCACGGGGGAACATCAAATACTCAATCTTAGAGGTAAATACGATATCCACATCGCTCATGAGGACTGGCCGGCTTTCAAGTTCTCAATTTCCATTTCTTCACACGTGGGATAGGAAAGAGAGCATAAGTGCTGACATGCTGACGTACGGCAAACGTATGACGGAAGCTTCCGCGCAACTTACGGAAAGACTTCGCAGCCATTAGTTCAGAGTGGAACGACCTCAATAAGGATGCAGCCAGCAAATTGATTGATTACTTTATAGAGTCGCTGTGAAAACATTTCGCTAAAAACATGGGAGACACAGGCCGTTGACGAGAGCATTCGTAGGATACGTGTAAAAATGACTAGGTCTTTTTAAGTAAAGCTGGAAAAGCAGTCAAGAATGAGGGGGAGAATGCAGGCATCTAAAACTTGCCAGATTAGGGCTGGCGGTGTGCGTTATGAACGCGAACGGCGTA